CTCTGGTCAAAAAAAAAAAAAAAAAGTTAATTAAAATAATTCCTTTAAAAAAAAAAAAAAAAAGAAGGCAACTAGCTTGGTAAGAATACACCCGAAAACTCCCACGGCTTTAACAGGTGGTAGCTCAGTTTATGCTGTTCTCGAGTCTCCTGTATGTGCATGGCTCATGCAGCTGAACCAGAGCCCTGGACCGTGTTCACAAACTGAATCCGACATTCTCACTCTGCTCTTTCATGGCGTTTACACTTAGTTTCCAATGTCTCTGGCGGTGGCTTCTTCCCTGAGTTGCTCCAGCCAGAAAGACAATAGAATTTCTATAAAAGTTAATATCTTAAACCTTCACAGCTGACTGTCTTAAAGTCCCACGCAACCAACCTTAGGTCCAAAGAGGAGTAGGGGTGGGGATGCGCAAAGGTCCGGGGTGGTTGGCCACAGCTGACTGTCTAAGAGACCCACAGGTTAATTCTTCTTAGGGAAAATGATGTGTAGGCATATCATCTTCCTGGTCACCCTGAACCACCACTACCCTGAGACTGCTCTCTAGGCAAGTGGGCATTATCAAAAACCCTCCCTAGACTAGTTTCTTCCTTCAAATTTTGACTGCTCTCCAAAATCTGCTGTTGTTTACTCTGCAAAGCCTTAGGATAAGAAAGAGGGAAAGATTGTCCAGTTTTCGGTTAGCTCCTAGAGGTTTAGTGAACTTATTTCTTCATACTAGAGGCAGATGTCTGAGACCATAAAGTTTATAGAACATGAATCTCCTAATATAAGGACTAGAGATGCAAGAGTTCAGAAAAAGTAGCACTTTTCCAGGTCAAATTGCCATTTACAGACAATTCAACAGAGTTTCCCCTAGGAAGAATTAACCTAAGGGTCTCAGATAATCTGCTGTGAATATATTTAAGATATTAACCTTTAAAAAAAAAAAAACCCACTGGCCTAGTAGTTAAAGGAGCCAGATCCCATAGGGCCAACCAAGCAGTTCAGGTCTGGGTGCTGGTGGCTTGAGAAACACACCAAGGACATGTGTAGGCAGGCCCTAAATCCCAAAAGAGCGGAAAAATGAAAGGAGGGGACTGTGGCATAACTGTATCGCTGGGGGCTGTTTTTTCCTCTTCCTCTCTCTAGTTCTCTGTCTCTCTCTGGCACACACCCTCTGGAAAATAGAATTTTAAAAAATATCTTAAAAGAAAAAGTTGGGGCCAGCAGGTAGCATGGTAGTTAAGGTGCTGGACTCCCACATGGCCTACTGTGGTTCAATTCCTGGACCCAGCAGCTTGAGAGTCACACTGGGAATGCATGAATGTGTGCCCCAAATCCCAGGAAGATAAGGGAGTAGAGGGAATTTTGGTGTGGCTATCTCCCCGTGAGGTGATTTCTCGCTTTCTCTGACTGTTTCTTTCTAGTGAGCATACGTGCTCTCTAGGAAAAGAAATAAAATTAGTAAAGACACTAGAAAAAGAAATATAATAAGGGGAAAAAAAGAATACATATTGAAAAGTAAGAACAAAATTTATTATTTGCATATAAGTTGGTTATCTAAAAAGTTCAAGAGTAAATTACAGAAAAATTGTTTAAAGTCACTCCTATAAGCCTTTCACATAACAGTGACATTGTCTCCCATAAAGAAAAAGGTAAATAACTTCTTTTTTCTTTTTTATTTTTGTTTTTTTTTTTGTTTGTTTTTTTGTTTCACCTTCTCTAGATTTTGAGAATGCTCTGTTTATTTATTTAGGTTCCCTACCACCACCCCGCCATAGCACACGTGCACTCACTAGAGAGAAAGAGAGATTAGGCAGGTGGTGAGATCAGGGGAATGGTGAAGATCTGAGGGTGGGGGACCACAGTCACACCACGATCCCTCTCTTCTACTCTCCTCTTGGGAATCTTTATTTTTTTTTTTTTTTTTGAGAGATTTTTGCTATAGGGCACATGTGCTCACCAGAGAAACAGAAAATGAGAAATCACCCTCGGGGGGGGGGGTCTGGTGGGCAGACAGCAATTCCATCTCCTCCATTCTCTTTTCTGGATCTTGAGCACGTGCACACACACGCACCCAGCATGAATTTTAAGCCACCAGGTCCTGGACTCAAACCGTTGTTGACTGCATTGGAGTCCAGCACTGTAACCATTACGCCATCTGCTGGTCCCGAAGGTAAATAATTTCTAAAGGAATGAAATAACCTGTCTGGAAGATACTTAGTGCCACAGAAGGTTAGCTGGTACCTTCATCCTTTGGGGCAAGATCAGCCTTTCTGTCTCTTCTTATTCTCACATCTTAAATGGAAGCATGATACAATGTTACCCACTCATATGTAAGAACTTTCAGTTGTTCTGAATTAATCGGTTTAGTCCTGCATTATTAAAAAAGAAATAGTCAGCCAAGAATTACCATATGCTTAAGGAAAATTATCAACGAAAAGAACACCAAGATAACAAACAGAACTATTGCTCATAGGGTGAATGGACAGATCAAGGAAACATCTTTAAAAATTAAAATAATTTCTATTTCCCTCTGAAAATTTAAAAGAAACTTGTATCCATAAAACAAACAAGTAGCCAGCAGTAACATGGTGCTTAAGACACTGGACTTCCACATAGCCAACCGCAGTTCAAGTCCCAAACTTGGTGGCTTGCTTTCTCACTTTCCCTTTCTCTTTCTTTCTCTCTCTAGTGACTGACTACACTTGCCCTTTAGCAAGTTTTAAAAATAATAATAAATAAATAAAATGTAAAAACTAAAACAAGACAGATGCACAATAGAAGGCAGCAAAGGAAAAGAAAAATGTTAATTTTAAATCAAATGTCACAAGGCTGAAAAGTGGCTACCTTGGGACTACCAGATGCATAATGGTTAAGTCACTGGACTCCCACAGAGCTGACTGAGGTTTGCGTCCTAAACCCAGAGGCTTAAAACTCAGGCCTGGGGACCAACAGTTGGCATAGTGGCTATGTCACTGGACTCCCATGGAGTTGACTGTGGTTTAAGTCCTGGACCTGGTGGTTTAAACTCGTGCTGGGTGCCTGTGCGTGCGTGCCCAAGATCCCAAGAAGAGAATGGAGGAGAAGGGGTTGCGGCATGGCCATCCCCCCGGGGGGTGATTTCTTGTTTTCTGTCTCTCTTTCTGGCAAATGCTCCCTATAGCAAAAACCTCTCAAAACAAAAACAAAAACAAAAACTCTCCCAGAGGAGAATGAAGGAGCAGGGACTCTGGCATGACCATCCCCCCAGGGTTGGGGGGATGATTTCTCACTTTCCATCTTTCTGTCTCTCTGTCTCTCCAGGGAGCACACACCCTATAGCAAAAATCTCTCTTTAAAAAAAAAGAAAGAAAGTGGCTACCTTTTATAATTTGTCACTTTCTAAACTGGTTTCTATTTAAAAAAAAAAAACTCCATTTTAATAAAATAGAAAAATGGTTAAATAAACTGTTATACTATGAAATATGTTGGGCCTGTTAAAATAATATTAAGTCATTGGACAAATCATGATGTATTTTTCTGTTTTTCCATGCAAAAATACATCATCATTTTTCCAATCACCCAATAAGATGTATGCTCTGATATGGAAAGAAATTTAAGTTTTTTAAAAGCAAGTTGTAGAAAATTTTTTAAAAATCCCACTTATTTTAAAAAATATAAGTAGAAGGACCAGCAGTTGGTGTAATGGCTATGTCAATGGACTCCCATGTAGTCGACTGCAGTTCAAGTCCCAGATCCAGTGGGTGTGTGTGTGTGTGTGTGTGTGTGTGTGCCCAAGATCCTAAGAAGAGAACGGAGGAGAAGGAACTGCAGCATGGCCATCCCCCCTGGAGGGGGTGGGGGGGTTTCTTGCTTTCTGTCTCTCTGTCTCTCTCTCTCTTTCTGGCAAGTGCACACGCCCTATAGCAAAAACCTCTCAAAAAAAAAAAATATATATATATATAAATTAGAGGGGCCAGTAGGTAGCTTGGTGGATAGACTGCTGAACTCCCACATAGCTGACTACGGTTTGAGTCTCAGACCTGGTGACTTGCTTTCTCACTTTCCCTTTCTCTGTCTCTCTCTGGTGAGCACACCTGCCCTATAGCAAGCTTAAAATATTTTTTTAATTTAAAAAATAAAAAATAAAAATAAATAAAGTTAAGTAAATAATAATTAAATTAGCTATATATAGGAAAATATTCCAGAGAGGATAATACTAGTTTGTCTGGAACTAAGATGTCCTTGACTTGTAGATCATCCCAGCATACTTTCAATTGTCTTAGAAAATCAAATCTCAGAGGCCGACCCTGTGGCCTGGTGGTTAACATTTGATATCTAGTCTATTTATGTACTTATGGAATCACTATGGGGTTGGAGTCTACAAGGTATTAAATTTCTGGGTGCCAATATTTAAAATCTTATTCTGATGCTGCCTGTGGCCTAGTGGTTAAGTCAGCTGGATCCCACATGGCCAACCATTTGGTTTGAGTCCCAGCCCCAGCCCCAGCCCCTTGAGAAATACATCAGGCATGGGTACATGTGTGCCCAAAATCCCAACAGGATGAAAAAGTGGAGAAGGGATTGCAATGTGATCACACCACACTGAGGGGGGTGCTTTCTCCCTCTGCCTAGTCTCTCACTCTCTCTCAGAAGAGTACATGTACCTTCTGGCAAATTTTTTAAAAATAAGTAAGATCTTATTCTGCTACTAGGCGAAAACTGCTGTACCAAACAATATCCAGTTATTAAAAAATATTCCAGAGGCTGGCAGGTAGCGTGGTGGTTAAGGAGCTGGACTCCCACACAGCCAACCACCGTACGAGCCCCAGACCTGGCAGCTCGCTTTCTCACTTTCTCTTTCTCTCTATCTCTGTCTCTCTCTGGTCAAATTTAAAAATAATAATACATAAATAAATATTTATTCCATATAATTTGCCAACAGTGTCATTTGTTACGTATTTTATATGTATAGTAAAAGGGAATCCTTTCCTCCTTAGACTGCTAGAGAAGATGAAGAAATTAGTGATGATGAGCCTGAAGAAGATGAAGACGATATTGAGAACATCCTTGAAGAGGAGTTTCCAAAAGATGAGGAAGAAATGAGTGAGGAAGATGAAGAACAGGAAATGGAAGCGATTGAACGCCTGAGAGCGGAACTGGGAGAAAAATTTGAAGCAGATATGAGTAACTTACAATCTGTACAGGTTATTCCTTTGCCTTCATTTTTCATAATTGAAAAACATCTGAGAGTTGTAAAAAAAAAAAAAAAGCAGTTTGATTTATGCCTTATTTCTTTTTAACATCCCCCAAAGGAAGGTGTATTTAGGGCGATGTAACCCTGTCAGTCCCACTTTAACAGTTATGAAAATAAACTCATAAATCAAGAGCAACACGGAAGCCGCACAGGGCTGGATTAAGTCTAGCTGCCAACACGCAGCCACTTAGAAGCTGAGAACATTATTTTTTCCTACACTGAAGTAGGCACCAGCAGTGTCTGTGTCTGTGACTGAATACTACCAGCCTTTTCCTTACCAAATGTATTTGATTTTATGATTTCTCTCATCAGGACGAATTGGAGAAGGTTTTAATACCAGTCATTGTCATTAATGGAGCTCGGAAAGTCCATATTGTACAGTATATATTGAGTACGAAACTGAAACCACTGGTGGAAAACCGTGAGAGCCTTTTTGAGAAATGTTATCCGATATCAGCACTCCTTGCCCAGAAAATGCTCACCTACACCTATAAGTATATAAGTGCATTTGGCTACTGGGACCCTGTAAAGGTAATTTCAGCAAATACATCTGAAGCTATCATTTTTTTTATTTATTAAAAAAAAGTGTCTAGAAAAAAATGGGATAATTTCAAAAATTTTAAATTTCTATTGTGTACTTTTCTTAAGTAGCTATAAAAATAATGGGTCATTGGAAAAGTCATGATGCACTTTTTACAGAGGAAAATATGTCTTGACTTTTCCAACAACCCTCCTTAAGAATTGAAAATGGAGTTAATTTTTAACTTTCCTTTTGTTACTAACTATATAACATATAGCAGACACTCCCACCCAGCCCATGGGTTTCTAGCATTTATTCTCAGCCCTGAACTCTCCAGCCTAAGAATGATGATGCTGGCAGTACCATTGGCCTGTATCAACCATCGCTGTGTTACACTTAGAGAGGAGCAGTATTACCACACTGTTTTACACCTACTCCTTTAAGTCCAGGGATGGCTGCTGCTTGGCCATTTGATACTGTACAAAGTTATTCTAGTCCAGCATCAAGGGATTAAGCAGTGGCACAGTGGTAACACAGTGGACTCTCCTAGGAAAGGTCTTGGGTTCACATTCCAGGCCTCCCTATGCATACCAGGTACATGTGCCCATGACCTGGGTTGACCAAGACTGAGGGTGGATTGCAGCATGAAGACCCTGTTGGTGGTGCCTATCTCTCTCCCCTGCCCCCAATGGAAGAATGCTGTCCTCTTTTCACTGACAATCGTTCTTATTGGAGGAAAGCCTGATAGAGTTGTAGAGTGTGTATAAAGATGATCCTTGATCTTGTATCTGAGTCTCCTATCAAAGGACGTGCACAGCCTTATGATCCCAATTTTTATGATGAAACCTATGACTATGGTGGTTTTACCATGATGTTGCATGACCACTGTAGACGTCCTGTGGGATTTCCCATGCGGGAAAGAGGTGGTTTTGACAAAATGCTTTGGGGTGGGCATCCCATGCCTCCATCTAGACGAGATTATGATGATATGCGCCCTCGTCAAGGACCATCTCCTCCTCCTGGATGAGGAGGCCAGGGCAGTAGCAGAGCTCGGAATCTTCCTCTCCCTCCACCACCACCACGTAGAGATTTAATGGCTTATGACAGAAGAGGAAGACCTGGAGACTATTATGATGACATGGTTGGTTTCAGTGCTGATGAAACTTGGGATTCTGCAATAGATATGTGGAGCCCATCCAAATGGCAGATGACTTATGAACCACAGGGCTGGCTCTGGATATGATTATTCCTATGCAGGGGGTCATGGATCATATGGTGATCTTGGTAGACCTATTATTATTACTTCGCAAGTAACTATTCCCAAAGAGTTGGCTGTTTCTAATATTGGCAAAGGAGGCCAGCAAATTAAACAAATTCGTCATGAATCAAGAGCTTCGATCAAAATTGATGAGCCTTTAGAAGGCTCCGAAGATCGGATCATTACCATTACAGAAACACGGGGACCAGCAGTTAGCGTAATGGCTATGTTGCTGGACTCCCACGTAGTCGACCGCAGTTCGCGTCCC